TCTAAGAGAAATGCCGACCCACAAGCAAGTGAAATATTCATAAATTTAAATGATACAGCAGGTATTACATTAAATAAGGCGACTACGTGTAATGAGACCGTTAATGTAGTCGGCAAATTAGCAGCAGAGGGAGAATTTGATGTAGATGTTAATTTTACAGGAACACCAGAATTTAGAGTGTTAGGCAATGCCGTTAATTTCTTTGAAAGATTTAGTATAACTCATAATACATCGGCAGGGAATGTAGAACAAATCTATTTAAGGAACCCAGACACCGACGGGGAAACGATGATAGAAATAGGAACTAAAGATGTCTTCAAAGTTGAAACCGCTAAGATAGTTGTTGATGGTGATGTTGAATATACCGGAAGTTTAATACCTTCGTCCGATGAAAGGTTAAAGAAGGACATTAAAGACTTGGATAGCAAAAAAGCAGTTGATTTAGTTAAATACATCGTTCCGAAAACTTACCGTTTTATTGATGACAGACAGCAAGGTAAATCCTGTTGCGGTTTTATCGCTAATGACTTTATGAATGCTAAAAAGATGCCGAAAGAATGGCAGAACATAGTAAAGGAGGGAACAGACGGATATTTAAAATTTGATTATACAATGACCACTCCCCTGCTTTGGTCTGCTTTACAACATACAATTAAAGAAAATGAGGAAATGAAAGATTTATTCAAATCAATGAAAAGGGAAATGACCACCCTTAAAGGAGAAATAACAAAGTTGAAGAATAAAATAAAAATAATAGCGATAGCGATTAATATAATATAAGCTATTGTATATGAGTGAGTTTGAAAATCAGTATAAAGTGTGTATGGAACTGATAAAACAGAAAAGTAGGGAAGTATCTGAAACAGATATATTACTAATTGCTATGAAAGACCTATTAGATAAGCTAGAAATGGAAGAAAAGAAGGTAGAAGCATTAAAAAGAAAAGGCGATGCCCTTGTTTCAATTTTACTTCTTTACATTGTTGCCCTGTATCATTATTTTAGTGATAATTAATAATATAAACATAGAATTTTTTTTAATTACTATCAATTTCAAAACGCTGTTGGAAGTTAATAAAAAGCATATTATTAACATCCTTCGCGTTGGTTTTTATGTAGAAGAACGAGTGAGGAGCAAAATTAACGGCCTGTTGATACATATCATATAGTGGTTTCTTGTCAACTAGTGCGCTGTTTTCTTCTAGGAAGCTATTAACTTCTTTCATAGTCTTCAACCTGAATATAAACAATTCACTAGCATTTAAGCGAATTATCGGTGCCAATACATTGTATTTTTGGGTAGATAAAATACACGAGATGGCGTTATGTCTTCCACGAGTGAATAAGCCGTGAAGAATGCTTGAGTATCTTACAAATTTAGGGTCATAGCAAAATCATCAACAACTATCAAGACGCTAAACAAATCCTTTTGTGTATTCTTCTTCTGATAATCAATGACTTTATGCTGTGTTTCTATTAACTTCTTCAATGCTATAGGGTCGTATTCTTCATAATAAACCTGCTCCTTTTCAGTATCAGCCTTCATCACATCGGTTATATATTTCTTAACGGGCGTCCATGTGTCATCAACATTAACGGTCGGTGAAAAAATGTAGATTCTTTCAAAGGAGTTTCGGTAGATTTTTAATATTAGGTTTTGGATAAGCACCGTCTTACCACCAGTTGATGAAGCCACACATAACATCCTAGCGGGTAATTTGGGCATCATTTCATATTTAGAGATTTTGTATTTGTATTCGGGTATGTCTATTGGTTCTACGGTTGGAATTGTTTCACTCATAATTATTACTTAATTAGAAATATATGATTCAAATATATAATGAATGAAAAATATGATGCTTACATTGAAACGATAAACGGTTTAGAAGTAGTAGAAGCGCAGGTAATACAAGATAGTAAGGTAAAACGATGTTGCTATTCATCATTAGAGTTTGTCAAAGCAGTTATTATTTGCTTGACAAATGTTAAAAAATCTAAATAGTATAAATGAGCGATATAACAGAAAGCGAAAAGAAGAAAGGGTTTTTCATAAACGCTAATGGTATATCATGTATCCCTTGTAGATGTAAAAGACAATCTTTTCATAAGGAGACTAAAACAACACAGGAAAACAACATAGTTACGACAAATGTTATAGAGGATAGACGAAATTTGAAATTCGGTTCTACTGGACGTCATATATCGCCCGACGAAAACGGTATATTCAAAACTGACGGTCAAGTCGGAAGCGTTGAGATATGTGATAATGGATGGGGGCAAAATAGATTTACCCCTGAGGAATGTGAACAAAGACTAGAAGGAACTGAAACAGACATTGAAGTCATTAAGAAAGACATAGAAAGGTTGGAGTTTGAACTGAATGATTTGAGGCTAAAAATTAATTAGTAAGAATCTATATAATATAAATATGAAGTGTTTATTTCCTAAGAAAGAAAAAGAGGAAGAGAAACAAAATTGGTTAGAAGAGCGAAGGAACATAAGGAAATACAATGCTCGATTAAATGCGATTTTGGACGAACCAGAGGATTACTACCATTATGAAGAATATAAGAAACGATTTAAATTGTTGTTTGAATTTTACTAGTTAGAAGAGTTACTAAAATAACTTAAAGATGTATTTTTAATATGTTGTGGCAGAGTGCCCCCATGCCAGTGCCCCCGTGTGCTTCCATAAGCGCATCAACAGAATGTGGTAATGGTCTAATTAGTTTGTTTCGTGCTTTTGGAAGAAGGAGAAGAAAACCCCCGATAGTCCCTATGTAATGTTCTACTGATTTAATTCAGGAATTCAATCATTAGAGTATCGTTTCGGTCTAACCGTGTTTAAAGACTAGACTTTTTAATATAGTAAGATGGAGAAACGAGTGTGTAAATCATGTTGTGCGACTAAAGATGTTGAAGAGTTTGACGGTTTTAAGACTTGTAATAGGTGCCGTGAAGCGAAACGAAAATGTTACGGCAAAAATAAAAACGAGTATAATCAAGCGAGAAGAGAAGAGAGGGCAAAGGGAAGCCATTTATGCGAAGAATGCGGACATAAGATAAAACACGAGAACTGGGATGCCCATTTCCATTATGCGTTACATCCGAACTCGGAACTAAATATATTGATGAAAGGTTATTTGGCGAAGCTAGGTAATTTAAGGAAAGAAGGCAAATTAAACGACGAATTACAAGCAGAGATTAAGGCGGAATACGAAAAGCAGAAACGGGAAATACGCAAACGATTAAACGAGCAATTTCCTAATAAGTTTCAAGACGAGACTGAAAAGGAAGAGCAACCTGAAGACGCTAAACCTAAACCCGACATTAACAAACTATTCAATCATGTTAATCAGTTACTGACGAATGATGAGTTTCTAGAAGACTATTTTATGATATTTCAAGAATATAAGGATAGGATAATTATTGAAATTCCAGTTGATAAATCATAAGTATAATGTAGTGATAATCCTTAAGTTGTTACAGATTATAACTATATTGTGATTTTACCTTATCCCCAAACCTTATTCCTATTATCGTAAAATTATTTAAGAAGACCATTTCCATTTTCTAAGGTTAGGGATTTCGGGTTGATACTATCGGGTTTTCTATCGGGGTATTGGTGTATGGGTTTGAGTATGTTGTTATTCTATGTGGTGACCTATGGTTCTTCTAATGGTTCCATCATATGGGTTTTTCCCATGAGTATTTTGGTGAGGTTAGGGTTGAGGTATAGGTTGTTATGGTTTTGGGTCTTCAGGTGGGTCTTTCCTAGGGTTCTACCTATGGGTCTTGAATCGGTTGAAGGTTGAGGTATAGGTTGTTATGGTTTTGGGTCTTTGGGTGGCCTAGGGGGGTGGGCATGGTTAGAAAATGGAAATGGTATCTGCTAACTCTTATAACCCTGGTTACTAAGTGCCATCATCCTTTGACTAGGAACTTGGTCAATGAAGAAACCAATCAACGAAGACACCCAGAAGTCTCATCCTTCAGAATTACAGGGTCCCTATGCAGAGCCCCAGGCAAGCGCTAGGCGCCTCACAAGCACTGACCCTGGGCCCTAAATCAAGGAAAGCTGCCTAGATCCTAAACCGATTTTTTTGAAGAGTGGGTGGCTGATCCTTTCGAGATCAGCCGTCGACCGATGCGCCCCACACTCTGAAACTTCAACCGGACCACGGAATAGGGCTTCTAGGGTTAAGGTTGGGGTTTATGTTAGTAAGGGTTTGGGGTTTGCAGATTTAGTTTTAGGCGTTCAGGTCTCAGCGAATACTGATATGACGCTTTTCATGGTTTAGGAATGCCAGGCCTCCGGCACTGGGCCTGGGTTTACAGGTTCAGGGGCTGAGTTGTCATGCTCTTTGTGGTGCGGGGGTATGGGAGGCTGAACTATAGTCTCCTTAAGAATTGTTTTTAAAACCTTTGTTCGGATAAAACCCAAGAGAATGTTAACCACATTATTTGTATTATGGTTCGAGGGAGGGTATAGTTAAGCCCTAAACCCGACACGCTAAGCCCTGAACAACTTGGCGGAGGAAAGCTTGCGGCCCTCAGAAGGACGATCCCTAGCCCTTTAAGCCCAAAACCCCAAACCCCCCACAGCCCTTCACGCGAAATAGGTGCAGCTCTACTGAGTTTAAAGCCCTAACCAAAACCCTTAAACCCTTAGCCCTAAAGCCCCCAAAGCACCGAAAGCCCTAGACACTGGCATAGCGTTACTTTTCCAAGCAGGATTTTGGCGTGTCTGTGCCCCAAACCCTAAACCCTGAACCCTATCTGATCTCAGGGATAGGCGGAATGAAGCGTTTATAAACAAACCTAAATCCTAAACACGAGACCCTAAACCCTAAACGATGCTAAACCCTGCATTGCATGTAGACGACTTATCTGCAAACAGCAGGATTTGGCATCTCCGTGTCCTAAACCCTAAACTCTAACCCGTAATTGAACCCCTAAACCCGTAAACCCATAAACCTTAAACCCTTAGCCCCTATCAGGATTCGGCATCTCCGTGGCCACCGGCTGGCACTACCACCTGGACCTTATCGGCACTGGCATCTTTTCGGCGGCCGCCTTGGCCCTGTGTGGTCAATCCGGCCAGGAGCTTACCATAGGGGCTCTAAGTAAATGGGAGCTTCCGAAAATTAGGGGTACCTTACGGTTCCTTTAAAGGGATCCATAAGGGTTCATGTAAGGGTGGGTATAAGGTTTAGGGGGCGAAATCACGGTTATTTTAGGGCTCCTTTACAAGGTTAGTATAAGGGTACTAAAAGGGTCCCTTGAAAGGGCTCCATAAAGCTCTCTAAGGGTTTAGTAGCTTCCGAAAATTAGGGGTACCTTGTTTTGGTGTCGGTACAATAAAGATCCCACTTTTTCGGGTATTATATAAGGGTCACCTATTTCGGAAACTCCCAAATGACAACCTTAGAGGGCTCCTTAAAGGCGTCTACAAGGGATCTATAGAGGTTTAGGGTCTACTAGGTTCCCGAGTGGTACATTTTTGCTCTTTTCTTTTTGGGTTCCCTCGATGCAACCAAATAGTAGGAGAAAGGGCACTGCTCAGGAACCTAGTTACCATAGGGGCCCTAACTAAATGATTGCCAATACCATTTTGGGGCTCCTTATTAAAGTTGTAGTACAGCATACCCGCAAACCCTGTTCTTATCATAGGGATCCTTAGGGGTGTAGGGGAGGGGGGGTAGGGGGCCTTAAGGCCCATAATAAGGACTAATAAGGCCTATTTAAGGAAATATAGTCCCCTACACCCCTCCCCCCTACACCCCTAAGGATCCCTATGTTCTCACCAAATCCCCCTATATTCGAGTTCTGGCTTCGTTTCGACGGGCCTTATGTGGTTCTGTTGGGGCTCCTTACTATAGTTACCTGTTTCTACCAAGGCCCCTGTATTCGAGTTGAGGCTTCTTTTCCATGGGCCCCTAACGGCTTTATGGGGCTCTGTTTGCAAGTTTTAGGGTTTAGGGGTTTAGGATTTAGGGATTTAGGGTTTAAGGGTTTAGGGCTTTTTCGTAGGGCTCAGTGACTGGTCCAATGACTTTGGGGCCCTCCCGATCCGAGGCCTGAAAGGTCCTGCGCCTGTTCCAACACCCTAAACCATAAACCCCTAAACCCGAGTCTCCTAAACCACTAAACCCTAAACCCCTATATAAACCCTAAACCCCTCAACCATAGACCCCTAAACCCCCAAATCCTCAACCGCAAACCCCCCTGAACTTTTCGATCTGAAAAGCCCACTGCCCTTCCAAGAACTAGACCCTAAACCCCAAGCCGCGGGCTCTCAGGCGACCTTCGCCAGAATGCAAGTGCGGCGTGCATCTCCATTTGGGCCACACAGATCTGGAGTGGCATACTTTTGCCTGCCTTTTAAACACAAAAATACACAAATCTGGAGCAGCATGCTGTTGCTTTTAATTGGTGTATTACAACACAGATCTGGAGCATTTTACAAGGCAACACAGATCTGGAGTAGTGTACTCGTTGTTGGATCCGGTTTCCTTGTCGTGCCCTGGGCAAAAGCCCTCCTGAGCCCGATGCTGAGTACAGATTCTGTAAGCCCCAGAACCTTGACTAACATAGGGCTTAAATAAAACTATTTTGACGCAAAAGCCCTGAGGCCATAAAGCTCGCCGCGTTCCTGTTCTACAGGCAGGCCCGTCCAAAGGTGAAGAGAGTTGCTAGGGGCTGTAGGAGGGTTAAGGGGCCCGTCGTTGAACCGAGCAGAGACCCAAAAATGGCGATGACCTATCGCCCACGTAGCATCCAGAGCGCTGTGACTTCCTCTAAGCTTTCTGAATCCGTCAACACCAAGCCCCTAAACCCCAACACTTTTATAAATCCTTAATTAAACCCTAAAGCCTTAAACCCGTAAAACCCCTAAACCCCAGCATTTGTAAGTGATTGCAGGGTGCTGCAAACCCGCCACGATGCGCGCCTGGATGATCAGCTGGCAACAACTCAAGGGGCCGGGCCGACAGTTCCCATGTTCTCCCGATTGTCGCTTTTTAGCTATTCCTCCAGGACCCTCCTTGTACCCTCAAATAGGGGTATATGGTCCCAAATAAGGGGCATTTAGGATCTAATAGAGGGTAGATGGAGGGTCTAGGCTCGTGACTGTTCCGCTATGTTCTGCTGTTGTCGTTATGCTGCTTGGACTACTACTTTGGCTACGACGACGACTGCTGCTGCTTCAGCAGCAGCGGCACGCGCCAGCTCCTGCACCAGCATCATGACGATTGTCTGCGTCATCAGTCTCACGACAGCCGGTGTCCTCATCATCATCACTTTCTTAATCGCTGTCGGCGTTCTCTCGCCATAGTGACCACTGTTTTTGAGTTCTGCAAGTTCTGGGTGGCCCGGCGAGGTAACGTTAATTGAGAGAACCTCAGCCTTTGAAGCAGAATTTCTCGAATATTCAGCGCGCACGGTTTAGGGTTTTGGGTTTAGGGTTTAAGGGTTTAGGGTTTAAGGGTTAGAAGTACGAAGGGCTCCGAAGCCTTCAGTGTCGAAGCTTGCTTGTCTGAACACCGCGAGCGGATGAGGAGCCCCAACTTATAGGAAAGAAGATCGTAGATCTCCAGAAAAGCTTTCGAGTGCGACAGGAGCACCATGGTATACATAAGGAGGATGAGGTAGTCGAGGCAGTAGTTCCTTCAGCCTGCTACCTGACCGGTGGAGGGGTGGTGGCGGCAAAGCTTGAGAGGTAGAGTCATGAGGCCCGTGCGAGTTTCGCTCGGCTGTAGCTGCACTCCTGCAGATCGCTCTTTCAGGAATAGCCCTTTCATTCCTTCCAAGATGCTCGACCACACGACTCTTGACGGAGCCCTCGCACGCACACTGACTTTTTCCACACCTTGGAAGCGTCACTCGGGTTCTTAGAAGTACGAAGGGCTCCGAAGCCTTCAGTGTCGAAGCTTGCTTGTCTGAACACCGCGAGCGGATGAGGAGCCCCAACTTATAGGAAAGAAGATCGTAGATCTCCAGAAAAGCTTTCGAGTGCGACAGGAGCACCATGGTATACATAAGGAGGATGAGGTAGTCGAGGCAGTAGTTCCTTCAGCCTGCTACCTGACCCCCAACCCCCCCTAGACGGGGTTGCTGCCGCAAGTTGAGCCCGAGTAGCACGACGATCAAGATGTCGATGGGGCGGGTCGGGAGGGAAGTTTGCCCAGCAGCAGGAGTTGCCGAAGGCACCGACTGTGAAGCTGCTGTCAGAAACACCGGTTCTGGAGATGGCGTGGCCGTTTGCCATCCCAGTTGCTGGTGAAGCCAGTGCACCAGCAGCTCTTCCACATCTGCGGCGCCAAACATTGCTTGCTGGTAGATCTCAAAGAGAACGTTGGCGACGAAACTCACCGCAGCACGGCTCAACAGGCGAAAGACCAGAGCAAAGACCAGCGCGACGACCTTCGGGAAGAGCAGCAAGAAGAGCAGCAGCCCCGTGGTCCTTAGAGTCAAGCGTGGCAGCCACCAAGGAAGGCTTGACGGGGCGGCCGGCGCAGGCAGCGCAGTAGCCGTGCCACGCGTTCCCCTCACAGGCAGCGGCTCCGTGGGGACCGGTCCACGTGCAGGTCCGAGAGCTCCTGTCGGTGACCATTCCTGCAGAGATTGCATAGCACGCGCCAATGCTGCAGTGATGCGCCGAGGCATCGAGCCGGAACGCCAACGTGCAGCAACTGCACGGTTCGTAGGGTCCGACAGGACCTGCTCCGCAGTGAGGCCGTTGCCTAAGGGGGCAGCGCCCAGCTGAGAGCCAGCTTGCTCTACCGCTTGAAAGGCGGCCGCAGCAGCCTGAGGGGCGGAGTTCAAAGACGCACCATCTCTTCCTTGTTCTCCACTCGTCGCAAGCGGGCGCGAGAGGTGGAGAGTTTTCCGCTTGGCAGCTGCGCTTCCAGGCGCTGCCATGTCGAGGCAGCAGGTCCACACACGTAGCCGAGCAAAGCAGGCTTGCCCGGACACTCCACCACAACGTAGTCACCACGAAGAGCTGGAGCAACTTCCTCAAGAGCACGAACCGCCTCCCAACGGTCTTCCTCGGCGGCCTCGTCAAGAGCAGCAGCGAGCTCCCGCAAAGCGCGTTGCAGTCTATCCGTCATGGGAAAAGCCTAATCAACATTGAGCAAAGACGCCGCCGACACAGCAGGAGGGCTAGTAAGCCGATGCACATGACTGTAGGCACGCTGCAACTGACCGCGTGCCGTGCTGGGCGCATTCGCCAGGGCATGCACGGCGAGAGCGTCCTGCAAGTAGTGGCGCAGCGTCTCCGGCCGACGCCAGCGACCTGTGAACTGCAACAAACCCAGATTCTGCCGAGTTTTGAAATGGTGGCATGCGCCACCCCCTCTGAAAGAAGCAAGGGTCAGGCCACAGCCGTCGAGGTGCAGAGTCGCCAGTGCTTCCTTTACAAGGTTGGCCCACTTTCTCCGGCCAACGGGGAAAACACGGCTGCGCTTGGATCTGTGTGCTGTCCACCACTGCAACCAAGCGGTGAGCCCTGGGGATTCAATGATCACGAACTGGTGGGCCCACACACGTCTGGTTTTGGCCTGTTTTATAGACACCAACAGACCCACACCCTCAGCCATCTCCGGGGCCTCCGGGAAAACCAGATCCCCCACCGTGAGCACCTCAATTTCTCCCGGTCGCATCAGCCCAGAAAAAGCCAACCAGCATCCCAACATAGCCGCCCAAACTTCTTGTCGCTCACGCCCATCCAGCCCTGCACCACGCGCTAAAAGTGACACCAATAGGCACTGAAGGACATAGTGAGTGATTGGTACGCGAGGCTTGATGGGCTGCAACAATCGCCACGCCCGCAATGCCGACCAAGTTGATCTAAGGTATGCCCCCGACAGCTTGTACGACCGCTGGATCGATAGAACGGCCAACGTAACCCAATAGAGCTTCTCACCCTCCTCATGTGCAGCATTCACCGCGCGCTCGAGCCAGGTATCAACCCATCGTGGTGAAGTCTTACGCGTAAGCGTCCCACCCAGCGAAGCCACAAAACCCAACATCCACAAACCAGCTTCACGAAGGTGCCTCCGGTATGCAGGCGTCAGTGTGGCATCCTGGAGTTTAGTGCGGCGCCTCCCACCGGGCGATGGCATCAGCCACAACCCGGCAAAATCCCCACGGATGAAAACTTGCCGATTTCGCTCGAGCCCCTCTCAAAGAAACAGCATGTTGGTGGCCCCCCGGGCACCGGCGCACAACTGCATGAACCCATGGGGCGTTGCTCCAAAGAGTGGTGGGCTTGCGACTTGGGGGCTCAGGATCATGAGGATCTGCATACGCACACCAATCAACTTTATGAAATACTGACGCCTCGCGCGCTTCAAACACCTCCGTCACTCTGAGGGCCCAGGCCTTGCTTCGACGAGGATGTTCAATGATAAAGTAGCCGCCAGCCTTCACGATCATGGCCGCGAGTTGCAAAGCTCGAACCCATGACTGATTTCCCTCCTGCACCTCCGGGCGTGTTGCATCTCCTTCCGGATCGCCCTTCGGCCGCAATGGGCCCCCGTGATCGAGATCCCTGAGCGGAGAGAAACTATTACAAGGGGGTGCCATCCACAGCCAGTTGATCTCACCCGACACAATCGCAAGATCGATCCCCGCCTCGAACAGAGACGTTGGCTCCAACATCCGAACCCCGGCCTCACGAAGAACTTGAGTAAGTCTTGCATTTCCAGCGAAAATCTCAAGGCCTTGTAATTGACGACGAGGACGAAGTCCCCATTCCAGCATCCAACGCGCCAGGCGCCTGGGAGGTGGCAGGGGTCGGAAACGTGACGGGTGGTCGGCAAGGTTACTTTCAGTCTCCACCCACAGCAATGCGAGTGCGATGTCACCAAAGATGAGATAAGGCAGCAGCGCTCTCATCAAGCCGTTGAGTTTGTAGCTGCTTGATCTTCCTTTCGACACTGCTCCGACTGCTACGCGGGAATCGTTTAAGCAGATCTGGATGTTGCCGCCATTCGAAAAAGCACTAGCCAACTTTCGCACCTCTCTTCCCAGGGCCCGGGTCTCCTGAAGGTTGATGTGGGACACCTGGCGAAACGTGTACCCGGCGACGGTCTTCCAATCGAGACTCTCTGACAAACGGGATGCGAACCTTGACGGCTCCTTCGGCTCGGTCTCCAAAAGGTCGGCCTCAATGGACCTGTCGAGCCGCACGGCCTCACCTCGCACCTCCGATCTCCGCCACAACTCCTTGAGCAGAGGGCCCGGTACATGTGCCCGCACGGCGCCTCCAGACGAAGGCGTGGCGTCCGTCGCCAGCAAAGAACTGACAAAGGAGCGCCGCATGTGCCACACACAAAATGGCAAGTGAAGGCTCACGCTCCTCAATTCGTCCAGAATGAAACC